CACCTACAGATTTCCTTGACGGGAAGAAGAAGGAGGTTCGCTTTGAACCCTCCATGGGAGGTTTGGTTTGCGGAGTCCAGTCAATGCTTTCATCGAAGGCAGGAATGCAGAGGGCTTCGAAAAGCCAATAGGATCCAAGGGCATCCAATCTGCGGAAGATGCCAACAAGTCATGGAAGCACGAGGGCAGAGAGGCTTGGCGGAGGCGAGCCACATCTTTGAGGACCAGCTCGGCACCCACCATGTGGACGCGCGCTGTGCTGCAGTGACGGGCACAATGCTCGAAATCCGCCAGTGCAAGCTCTGCCGTACAAACGGCTTGAGCTGAAACCTTTTCGTGACTGGCTCAGTCAAAAGGACGAGCCAGGGAGGAGTGCGAGTGTGGAGATGACACACACAAATCGTGGAAGTGTACCAACAGCCGTTTTTTTGCCCAGAGAAAGTGCGAGGGCAGCACGAGCACTTCGAATATCAAAGAAACATGTCTCACATTTCGGACACACCGGTAAATATATAGGCAACAAGTTCAGAATATAAGGTGAACACATGTCTGAGACACAGACATTGTGACATAGGAGTGGTTAAAACTGGAATGCCCGGCTCAAGAATAAGCCAATCAGACCGCGTTTAGCTTGGAGAATGGGTCTTTGTGACCAAGGGGGATCCCCCTTCACGGTGATTTGGAACCCCGCCGTGCTGGTGATTGGGACCCGCCGCACTCCTCAGGTTTTGGGGCGCCAGCAGTGCTGCTTCACAGCGGCCCCGAGGCTCCAAGAGAGATCGCAACGGACGGCGCAAGCGGCTTGCTTCAGTTGCCTTCCTCTTGAGACACTAACAGAGAATTTTTGGGTTTGGGGCAGTCTTTCTTTGTTGTTCTTGTTGTTCAACTGGTGGTGTTTGAGTTGTGTTTAACTATAGCCTTTTCCCTGTCATGTCAGCTCTTTGGTGTCCAAATGAGTGCAACGTTCCCTGTGGACGTAGGGCCCTGAATATCGCCGGAAGTGTCCCCAAAGTCGTTTCTTCAAGCTATGGTATAAGGATGTATAAGGACACTTAAGAACACCACCGCATATAGCGAGTGCTCCCTTCTTTCTCGTTGAAGAGGCGTCCATCCCAGAAGTCCAGTTGCTCTGTAACTGGAGGTCGAAAGGGTTCATCTTGGGCTCCCCCCAGCCAGTGGGCAGGTTTTTTGGCAAAAGAGATGTTCTTCCGGGGTTGAAGTGGGACCTTCTGTGCCATGTGAGAAGTTCAGATGTTGAACTATACAAGACCCTTTGTTGGTCGAAGGAACAAGTCAGTCAGACCGCAAGGCTGCCAAGGCTTGCCACGGATCCTGCAGGAACACAAGGTGTAGGGATGTGAAGGGATTCGTCCCTCCACAACAAGCCGGTTCCCAACTCTTTTGACGGCTTCATTACCAACCATCAAGTCAACAGCTCAGAGAGAGAGAATCTGGGAGTTTGGGACCTGTTTTATATGATCCCGATGCTTGCCAGATATTCATGGATCCGTCAGATATGTTTTGTTTCATGGTTCCTCAGATCTTCTTGGTGAAACACAAAACGAAACCACCGAAACACCCATCTCACCGTCGCCACGCCAGGCCGGTCGGCGTCCCGCAGCGCCTGCCCACCGGCAGAGCTCCCGGGTCGCACGTCCCGCAGGCGGAGCGAGGTGGTGGAGGGGGCGGAGCTCGGTGGGTCGTGGGGTGGGAGGACATCGACCTGTATATCCAACCTGCTTTTGTTAAACAAAAAGGCGACCGGGGTCGGCGACCAGGGTCCCAGGGTTGCATTGTTCCAGGATGTATTTTGTTATATTTTAAGTAAACATGAGTTTTCTATAGTATCGTTCGTGAACATCCGGAACTGGGAAGGGCTTGGACCTGCCAAAATTTGGGGCACACCGATCGTGCACAGATTTTGGATGAACCTATACCCGTACCCACAGGGGCCAAAAGGGATGGCGACCCATGGTCGGTGGATGTCGGTGGCATCTGAGGGAAAAGGGATGGAAAGGGTGGAATCGTGTTGTTGATGTGCATTGAGATTTCTTGTTGGATCTTGTTGGATGATTTGGGGAGCTGCTTTAGGAGAATCATGTTAACCGGATGGAAGAGCATGAGAGGACAAACATGGTTCACAATTTCATGGCTTTTATCTGTGGAGTCTGGAGTGTGACTTGAACTTCTTCGCTTCTTTAGGCGTTTTGAAGGCGGAGCCTGTCACCATCCGTCGCCCTTGGTACTTAAGTTTGTTTCACTATAGACTTAAGTGGAGTCTGTAGTTGATCGTATCGTCCGAGACTTTTCGCAGCTCATCCGATCACCAAGCAGCTCGTCCGCATGGAGGTTGAACTCTCAGAGCCTGGCCAGAAGTCCGAAGGAGACACCACGTGTTAACTTGGCGTCAGGAAGACGACCGAAGACGATCTGGACGACTCGGTCACCAACCAGCTAAGTCGACAGGTAACTACAACCAAACATAAGGTATGTTTATACGTTTGTTTTTGCATACTATATAGAGCTACAGTTCAACATCTTGATCCCGGGAGGCAGTTCTCAGGCTCAGCAGTGTGAGATATTGGCTATATCTTTATGATATCCTATCTATCAGCTCCACAAACTCCAGGAGTTACCAGAAATCCCATTCGTCTCCTACGAGCGCCTCCCAAAGAAGCCTCCAATGCACCTCCCACACCAGGGCAGCACCGCCTCGCCTCATCTGCCGGCGAACCATGGGCGGCGCCGATGTGAGGCGGTTCACGGTGTGGTGGAGTGGGTGGTTAGTGCTGTGGGAGGGACGTGGGAGGACGGAAGAGGACGGAGGATGGTTCAGAAGCCTGGGCCAGGTATGGTTCGGAAGCCTGGGCAGCAGTTAAGTCAAAATAGAAGGAGTGACCATGTGTTTTCGCATGTGCTTTGCTCCAGGAAGACTTATCATCAGCCACGAACGACACTTACCAAAGTCGGTTAAGACTTCAGCGTCAAGGCAACATACCCAATTCAGAACACTTGACATTCAACAAACTAATGCTACCCGAAATGGATGCTTGCTAATTCTCAACGACGTTGAAAGTAGGTCAGCAACCAGCAGCCAGCTGCAATCTGCCATGGATGAACCACTTCTTGGCGCAAGTGCAATTGAAAAGCCTGCAGAGTTCAGGGGTCGACCGCAGAAAGAATCCGTGGACAGCTCGGAGGAGTGTGAGTTGAATTCCTTCGAAGTTCCTCAGAGTGAGTTTTGGAAATGAACGGGTGTTTGCCAGAAAGACCGGGGGGAGGGTAACGGCCGGCAACAGGTAACTGCTCAATGGGTTTAATGGGCGAGGAATGGTTAAAGTGGAATAACCAAGATCTTCATAGATCTTCAAAGTGACCGAACTTGATATCCCAGGACGAGGTCACAAACAGGCCCGTAAAAGGTAACTTAGAGACTCCAAAGAGGTCAAATTGAAGGAAGACACATGCGATGACTTTCTACTAGCTGTTGAATGCAAGACCCCGGCGCTTTGGAAGTGACGTTGCTGCCTGTTGCCATGTTCTGTTTGGCAATCCGAGGCCTTCCGAAGGTACTGCATCAATGCAAACATTGCGTTGGTGAGACCAGAGTTCTTGGAAAAGCTCTGCCAAGAGGGGCGGGTCTGGCCTCGGCGGCAAGAGGCCGAGCAAATCCCAGGAGCTGGTTGGCCAAACAGGTTCAGGTTGGCGCACATGTCACTCGTAGAGCTTATGCATCCTCCCTTTTGATTTCAAGTTGAGAGACAATTCCGGATATTTTTTTTGTAAATGACCGCCTTATGGCCTTCCTGTGAATGACCTTACCCAGCCTTATTCCTGCCAATGACCTCTTCCCATGCTTGGTAGCTGGATTGCCTATAGCATTTGCACCCAACATCTTGGCCGAATCCCAGCATCATTTGGTTCTTTTGAACAAAGCTGGATTTGGATTAAAGTTTCTCCCTCGTAGAGCCAGCAGATGTTCAATCCGCTGGCGGCGCCAGACTCGGTACCAGGAGCTTTGTACAAGCCGGGGCCCGATGACGAGTTCTCCTTCATCGGCATTTCGCACTGCTGGGAGTCTCGGGAACATCCCGACCCTTTCGGGTACCAGCCGCTTGAACGTTCAAAATACAAGGCACTGTCGGGATGGTAAATATAGGTTGCGAAAAATGGTAAATATAGGTTGCCATGAACCGCCAGAAGGCTGCGAACTATTAGGCATCGAAATCCTTTCAAGTCGGACCGGTCCAAGGCTCAAAACCATAGTGGACGCATGGCACTACTGGCAAGAGGTCGACCCCGAAGTGTACGGAGATGACACCACCTACTTCTTCATTGATTACATGAGCCTGCCGCAGTTCAAAAGAAGTGCAGAAGAGCAGACGTGCTTCCAACGCGCGATGAAGAATATGCACCTGTTCTATGCCTCTTGGAACGCCAACTTCACGGTTTTGGAGTTTTTTTGGATTCGCCCTATAGCCCGTCCTCTCTGGCTTTAGGTTTTTGAAACTTTGAATTCACCTCACTATGTTCCGTCCTCTCTGGTTTTAGGATTTCTCCTTCCAATCCTGAAATTTTTCCAGCCAGGAAAATGAAGGAATCTAGATACCCGTCTGGAATCCAACTATTTTTT